CCCCCATATCAAGATGAACAAGAGGTTTGTTGGCCTTAACGTTTTGCTTGTGGTTTGGATGAAAGTTTATAGAGCAAGTTAGTTTTCCATTCAGTCCTGTGTTTTGAGTAATTCCTAGAATTCAGTCAGGACTGGGCCAGCCCAGGCTCCTATACACAAGAAGGTGATAGGATGGAGTCAAGACCTGGGAAGGGTAGGCTATAGTGTCAAGAAAAGGAGGGGGAATCAGGGAGAGGAGGTGTGTCCAGGAAGCTGGAGCATCCAAGGCAACATCTGTAGGTGGCCTGCAACACTGTTTTGTTTGGTCTGTGCCGTGTTTTCAATTATTTGAATTAGTTATTGCGGCAAGACATTTTATCTGTCTATCCAAAGTGAATCCTTGCTAACAAGCTGGATTATGCTGGGCAGCCATGTGCCAGGCTTAGGGGAACCACCTGATCTCCCAGACTCTGCTACAGCTGAGGTTAGTCATGCCAAGATTCTGGCTAAATGAGACATATACACTCAAGTTTTTTCTTTATAAAAAGGAAGGACAATGCCACCAAAATATACAGGCAGAACTTGTTGAAATGGTATATCCTGCGCTGTGTTTATTTTCACTAAAAGATTAAATCAAACTGGAAAGAAAAAAAAAAAAGAGCACACACACACACACAGGAGATGTATGTCCTTTGGGAGACTTTCTTGTTTAAGGACCCCTGCAGTGGTTAAATGTTGGCCTATTACCCATAAGCCACTCCAAGGATAAAGATATGGCGGTCTGTTCCTGTAAAGCTACAACCTTGGAACTGCTATGGGGCAGTTCTGCTTTGTCCTATGTGGGGGCTATGAGTGGGAGCCATGACCTAATGTATTGTGTCCTCTGCTTCTTCCTAGAATGGAAGGTGTGGGGCTCTGACTTCCAACCCCTGAGCACCAGGGAAAGACTCAGAGGGTTAGAGACCCCAGTCCAGGTGCTGTGGGGACCCTGATACATGGGCCCACAACTGCCCATCCCCAGACTTGTTTTGTGAGGAAAATTCCACCACTTAACCTATTGTTGGGTACATTTTTCAGTTGCTGAGAGATGTATCCTTTGTCATCAGAAGTCAGGAGGTTTCACCTGACCCCATATTGGGGGTATGGAGCCCAGAAGTACACTCTTTGGGGCCTTAATACTAGTGTAACACTAAATCCACAGTCCCCCAACCACAGTTGTTAACGGGACAAAGAGCCTGGGGTTTGGGGGAGATTTATTGAACTGGGAGTTGTGGGGTGGAGGGGGGGAGCTGGGAACAGGCTCATACTGGGGGGGGCTGCAGGTAGCTGAGCTGCAGGTGGGGCCAGCTGGGGGCTGGGAGCAGGCTCACACTGGGGGGGGCTGCAGGTAGCTGAGCTGCAGGTGGGGCCAGCTGGGGGCTGGGAGCAGGCTCACACTGGGGGGGGCTGCAGGTAGCTGAGCTGCAGGTGGGGCCAGCTGGGGGGTGGGGACTGGCCCAATAGCAGGACGGACAGCAGCAGTAGGAGCAGAAGGCCCAGCACCGGTGCCGGGAGCAGCGGGTGCCATGTGACCCTGGGAGTGGAAGAGAACATGCTGAGAACAGGGTCCAGGATCCCAAGCCAGCTGGTGGTTCCCCCCACTCCCCACTCCCAGTTGCCTCTGGGCACACCTGAGCTGCTGGGCCTGCAGGAAGGGCAGGCTGGGCTGGCCCCAGTGTCGCTCTGTGACTGGAACCAGCTCTTTGGTCCCCAGTACAGGCACCAGGGCTCGCTGGAGGTCGGCTTCCGCTTCCGGTGTGACAAGGCTGCTCCAGAGAAAGGAGTATACAGAAGTGGTCACTGGACTGCCCCTTGTCCTCAAGCGCCCCTCTCCCCTGTAGGCCATTACCTCACTGGTGGGCTTCCTGGGAGGGCTTCAGGGTGAGGGGCTCCCAGAGGGATGGGGAGCTCAGCCTGGGGACAAAGCACAGATTGGAGTCACTGGGTTCTGGGTTGGTCCTCAGTACAATTGAAATCAGTTGCTGTCAAGTCCACTCCCACTTATAGTGACCCCGTGTATTACAGAACAGAACTGCCTCATAGGGTTTTCTGGGCCGTTATCTTTACAGACACAGATCCACAGGCCTCAAACCCTGGGCTTTGAACTGGTTCATTCTGGTTTGCCCCGCTGCTGAGAATTTGCCTTTTTGCCTCAGATTGAATTCGAATCTACCTTATCACAAGATCCCCAGGTGAGATATAAGAATCACCTGTTGTTTGAGTCAGTTCTGACTCACAGTGACCCTGTATAGGATTTCCAAGAAGCGGCTCATGGGTTTGAACCACCAACCTTGTGTTAGCAGTCCACATAATAACCAGGGGATCTATAAACTTCACTTAGGGCTCTTGCTAAAATCTAGCATTGGATGTAGTCTGAGGCAAAAAGCAAATTTTCAGCAGGGGTTGAACTGGAATTAACCATTTATTTGCAAGCCCTTCACCCTGCCCCCACCTCTCCAGGGCTCCTGTGGGCCTAAAACTCAGTGAGAATGAAAACGGCCAGGGAGGGTGACAGGGAGACAGATGGCAGGAATAAGATGATCATCGGAGTGAGGCGTCTACAAGCCAAGGAGCCCCAGCAGCGGACAGCAGACATGGGCAAGGCAGAGGATGGGTTCTCTTTGGAGCCTCCAGAAAGCTCCAGAACCAAGTCTGACTCCTGGTCTCCAGCAGAGAGACCATGTTCCTGCAGCTCAGAGTTGCCCTGTCTGTGGTCCTTGGCTGTGCCCACCCACTCTCCATGCTCCCAGGACAATAGCACACCACACGGCAGTGTCCAGCAGCTGGCAGACACCCCCTGGCCTCCCCAGGTTGCCTTCTCCTTGCCTGAGAATTGGGGTTGCCATCCCACCTGTACTGCTGCTGGGGGGGGGGGCAGGCCAGCGTTAGTTCAGAGCTGTGAGAAGGCCCGATGCCCCCGTCCAGGCATGGCGCGTGGGTGCAGCTGAGTGTGTATTGATGCAATGAGGTTGCAGCTGTCTGCTAACTGAAGCCAGGCGGATGCTGCCGCGTGTGGTGGTGGTGGTGGTGGTGGGGGCTGTGGGGTTCCCCTGGGAACATCATGCTGCCCACTGGCCTCCAGGCCCCCCTTCTCTCTCATTAGCTGCCTCCAGCGCCTTGTTATCTCTTGGCCAAATGATTTTTCTCAGTTTGGAGGAGTAGAGGGGGCTAGGAAGGGACTGGGGCTCACTCAGCTTCCGGGGTAGGAGGAGATGGGGGGGCAACTAAAGAGCACAGGAGGGGGCCTAATGAGTGCCTACCAGTAGTGGAACCTCCACTTCCTGCTCCTTAGCCTCTTCCTCTCTTCTGGGCAGCCTGAGGAGACAACAGTCATCACAAACAGCTTCCCCTATTACTGCTCCCACTCCCTTCTGTGGGGCTCCTGCTGGCTCTGGGGTTCCTTGAGTCCAGCAGCCAAATTTCCAGCATAACTAACTCAGCAAATGTCTTATTCATGGAACTTTCCAGCAAATTCTCAAAAATCTGTAACCTCCCTCTCTGAAAGGCTTAGGGTTACGTTTCAGATTACTTTCTTAGCTGCAATTTTCCCAGCTGACTCCAACTGGAAAGTGGGACCCCAGCTCCATGACCCCGCAAACACCAGAGACTCAGACCCTCTGAGACCCCAGGACAGTGAAAAGCTCCAGCTCCTCTCCTTCCTGAGTCTTACCCGACTGGGTCCTCTTTGGGCACTAGACCCTAGGTCAGATTTCCCCCCCCGTAAGTATCCTGTGGAGTTCCCATCCCTGTCCCAGGACTCTACCCCATCACAGCCCCTGCTGTGCCCCTTCAGAGATTCAGGCTGCAAGGTGCCCATCCAGATGCCACTTGGGGACTCAGACTTCCACACCACCTGCCACGGCCCTCTGGTCATCAGCTTCAGACCCAATACCCTTGGGGATACAACTGTTGCCTTGAGGAGTCTAGGCTGTTGGGGGCAAGGCCTCTCCTCAGCTTCCCCAATCAGAGACAGGGTCTGATCCCCTGAATCTTCAACTCTGGACCCAGGAGTCTAATCTCCCATTCCTGCCCCTTCTCAAGGTTCCAAGCCCTCAGCCAGTCACCTTCAGGACCCCTCACTCCCTGCTCCCCAACCTGTGGAGCATATTGTACCCCGTCTCCCAGAAATGTGGAAGTCCACCAGTTCGGCACCAGGGCCAGCCTGCTATCAGCCCCTTCTCCTCACCAGTTTCCTGGTGACACCGGGGCAGGTCACAGCTCTGAACTCCCAGCTCGCCCAATCCTGCTCTGCCCAGACAAGTCCAATTAGAGGCTGAGGCAGGCAGCCTCATTAGCTGTTGCAGCTGGGAGCCCAAGGAGGTGGGTGGGTGGGGTGTAAGGAGAAGGAGGGTGGGCTTAGCTGTCTAGAGCTTCCCATGTCGTCAGCCGCCTGACCTGACAGTCACAGGCACAGGACTGGGATTTGCCTCACCACCAACAGCTCAGTCACACCACTGGGATCAAGATCCTGGCAGTCAGATTCCAGAGCCTTCTACCCTCCCCCAAATGATCCAGTGCCCCACTGGCCACCTTCATCCCAGGGCTCCCTAAAGGATGACAATGTGAAGGAGCTGCCCCTGCCTGGCAAGGAGTCTCTTACACACTCACACTCCTGCAAGACTCCAGCTGGGGGGTCATTCCCTAGGAACCATCCCAGGTAGGGTCAGGTATTTGGTACTTCCCCTCCTAGAATGAAGTGTCTAGGACCAGAGGGCAGAAACCAGGTCTCATCCATCTCCTAGTCTCTCCCCAGGGAACAGCTTCACAAAGACAGGAAGGAATGGATGCCTGAGGCATCCCAACCCGAGGTGGGGGATGGCACTTCAGAGATCCCCAAGCTCCTTACCACACGGAGTGCTGGCTCTGCTCTTGGGGGTACGGGTACATGAGCCCTTCTTGGAAGCTTCTCTGTGAACAGAACAGGGCAGGGACAATTGAGTGATTCCCTTCTTCTCACTCAAACTCTCTTTCTGGCCTCCAGCCATGGCCCCTGCCCCTGCCCTATTGATGTCTGTGTTTCTCCCCCAGGTCCCAGACCCCTGTATACACTTTTCTGGAACACTAAGCTTGGCTTGCGTGGGCTGCTTCTTGCACTCAACCTTGGTTGAACTAACAACTGAAATCAGAAAGCAGTGGTGGCTGTTAGTTGCTAAGTCAGCTTTGACTCACAGAGACCCCACGGGTGCAGATGAGAACTTCGTCACAGGGTTTTCAAGGCTGGGATCTTTCGGAAGCAGATACGCAGGCCCGTCTTCTGACGTGCCTCAGGATGGGTTTGAACTTTACGCTAGTGGTTGAGTGTGTCACCTGTTTGCACCTCCCAGAGAGTCCTCATGAAGTACTACTTGTGACAATAATGGCTGGAAATGGCCTCAGTTGTGATCAAGAGTTCACAGTGAACTTGAACTTGCTTTCTACTCAAAGCATAAATAGGTGCTGCTATCTTGATGGTGTTAGGGTGAACAGTTTTTTTTGTTGTTGTTGTTAGGTGCTGTCGAGTCAGTTACAACCCATTAGCAACCCTCCATAAAATAGAAAGAAAAACCACCTGGGCTTTCCCCATCCTCATACGCTTGAGCCCATTGCTGCAGCCACTGTACCAACCCATCCTGTTGGGGGTCTTCCTCTTTTTTGCTGTCCCTCCACTTTATGAAGCGTGATGTCCTTCTCCGGGAATTGGTTCCTCCTGACAAATGTGTCTGAAGCATGAGAGGTGAAGTCTGGCCATCCTGGTTTCTAAGAAGTTTCAGGTGGTACTTCCTCCAACACAGATTTGTTTGTTTTTTCTGGCACTCCATGGTCCTTTTAATATTCTCCTCCAACACCATAATTCAAATGCATTAATTCTTCTATGGTCTTTCTTATTCACTGCCCAACTTTCACATGCAATATGGGGCTATTGCAAATATCACCGCGTGGGTCAGGAGCACCTTAGTTCTCAAACTGGCATCTTTGCTCTTAAACACTTTAAAGAGGTCTTAGGCAGCAGATTTGCCTAATGCACTACATTGTTTGATTTCTTGAATGGCTGGCTGAGGACCTTTCTGTTGTTGGATGCCCATTTCGACTGACAGCCACTCCATGTAACATCCATGTAGCAGAGCAGAACTGCCGCATAGGGATTTCTAAGCTGTAATCTTTATGTGACTAGATCGCCAGGACTTTCTCTTGAGCTTCTGGGTGGGTTTGAACCCCAACCTTTCAGTTACCAGTGGAATGGACTGCTTAACTCTTGTGCCTCCTTTATGCTCTCCCTACTGCAGCACAGTTTAAAATGACAGCACGCTTTCTAAAAACTCAAACTTAAACCCAAGTGCACGCGGCAGTCTGTGAGTTTGCTCTGTTCTCTTTCATCTGTGGTACCGGTGGGCCAGTTCCTGGGGGCAGGGTGGTGGCTCAATGTCCCATATACAGTAGACCCTCTGTCAGTATCTGCCCAACAAATGAGCCAAGGTGTGACCCTTCACAGGCCTCCCCCACTCCTGTGCTCACTCCCCCATGCTCACCTGTCCCCCAGGTGGGGCTTCAGGTAGAAACACGGCTTCTTCGGTCTCACCTACAACTTCCTCGCCCTGCCACACCCCACACAGTGGGCTCCAGAGTTCCTCCAAAGCTACCACATCTTGTTTCTGGGAGAAGACAGATTTCTGAGCCCAGCTAGGACCAGATTAGGGCAGAGAGGAGGTCACAACAGGGCTGAGGCTTGTGACAGGGCCAGGAAAGGAGGTGGTGGCATGGGGTTGGGGTGGGGCTGGGTGAAGAGTGGGGGAGGGAGGAACAGGGAGGGTTCAAGGCCATCCCAGGGCTGCTAACAGGGAGGGATGGGTCAGAGGTGGGCCAGGAATGGGCTTGGGGTCAGGAGCTGAGGTAGAGAGAGAGTTTGAGAAGAGCTGAGATTGGGGTAGGAGCCTGTTTGACAGTGAGAGGAGTCAGGGATGAGGGTCAAAGGAAGGAGACACAGCGAGTACTGCCTTGGTGGCCTCTGGGTTGCTCCGAGGGTACCAGGCCCACCTGTTGAATGGCTTGGATCTCTGAGCCCAGTGACAGAGGCAGCAGCTTGTTCCAGCCAACTCTTCTTGCCTGTGCCCCTTCAGACAGCCTGGTCATACAGTCAGGAGGAGGGAAAATGACCACTGAGTCTGCCACCTGTTTTCTACCAGCCTGCCCCAGGGGACGGTATCCCTGCCCTCGGCCCCTCTCTGCCGGGGACTCCACTCACTCATCAGGCCCCTCATGGCTCTGACTCAGCTGTTCCTCCAGATGTGAAATCTCCAGCCTCAGCTCCTGGGGGTGGGGGCAGAGACATTTGGCCCTCCATTCTTCCCCTTCCCTCCCCCCTCCCTTCCTCCCTCCCAACATCTCTCCCAGTCCCTAGATGAGTATTGCCAGGGACAAGGGAAAGAAAGCAGTGACAGGGATTTAGGCAGCCACAGAGAGACAGAGAGCAATGGAAACCATTGCTAAGGTAGAGGGTCAGCAAGATGCCATTGCAAGATGGCAGCCGGGAAGACAGCAATACAGACACAGGGGAAGATGAGAGATGTGGAAATGAAGGGTGCGTAAGAGACTCAGATCAGAGACAAACAGAGAGACAGGCAGCCTAGGCCCAAAGAGGGGCATCCACAAAGATGAAAACAAGGCAGCCAGGCAAGGGGAGATGCTCGTCATCATTAGTCAGTGTTGTTGTTGTTAAGTGCCATCAGGCCAGTTCTGACTTACAGTGACCCTTCATAGCTGCTGTTACGCTTGAGGCTATAAATCTTGGTGGGAGCAGAAAGCCTCATCTTTCTCCCGAGGAGCAGCTGGTGGGTTTGAACTGCTGACCATGTTGTTAGCAGTCCAGTGCTTATCAAACAGCACCACACCAGGATTCCCTCATTAGTCACTGTTAAGTACCATTGAGTCAGTTCTGATCCATGACGACTCTGTATAGGGTTTCCGAGGAGCAGCTGGTGGGTTTGAACTGCTGACCTTTCAGTTAGCAGCCCAGTGCACATTTCATTAGTCGTTAAGGACATGTAAACCAAAACCATAAATACCTTCTCATCCCCACTAGGATGGCTACTATCAAAAACACAAACACACACACACAAAACAGTGGACAATAACAAGTATTGGCAAGGACATGGAGAAATTAGAGCCTTCATCCACTGCTGATGGAAATGCAAACTGGAGCACATGTAGTAGAAAACAGTTGGATGTTTCCTCCAAGAGTCCCACACAGAAGTACTATAAACCCGACCCAAAGCTGCTGAGTTAATTCCAGCTCATAGTTACGCAGAGTAGAACCGCCCCATAGGCTTTCCAAGACTATAATCTTTACAGAAGCAGACTGTCACATCTTTCTCCCATAAAGCCACTGGTGGGTTCAAACCTCCAACCTTCCAGTTAGCAATGAACCACTTCGCCACCAAGGCTCCTGAGAACTACCACACTGTTGTCAGATGTCACTGAGTTGGTACTGTTCTGACTCATAGTGACTCTATGCACAACAGGACACAAACACTGCTGAGTCCTGCGCCATCCTTACAGCATTTCCTGTATTTGAGCCCATTCTTGTAGATACTGTGTCAGTCCATCTCATTGAGGGTCTTCCTCTTTCTTGCTGACCCTCTACCTTAGCAAACATGGTGTCCTTTTCCAGGGATTAATCCCTTCTGATAACATGTTTGAAGTATGTGAAACAAAGTTTGTATATACTTCTTCCAAAACAGACTTGTTTGTTCTTCTGGCAATCTGTGGTACTTTCAATATTCTTTGCCAACACCACAATTCAAATGCATCAACAAGCTCCTTTATTTGTCTGTCGTTGTGGATTGACAATGGGGTGCTAACTGAAAGGTGGGTGCCTCAAACCCACCAGCAGCTCCATGGGAGAAGATGACACTTGTCTACTCCTGTAAGGATTTATAGTCTCAAAAAATCCTATATAGGATTGCTGTGAGTTGAAATGGACTTGATAGCAGTGCGGGTGACTGCTTGTCTAGGGCTCTGTTTCATTTATGTCTCCTCAGGCCTTGTTTTATTGTACTTCACTTTATTGCTCCTTACAGATATTGTATTTTTCCACAAATTGAAGGTTTGTGGCAACCCTGCCTTGAGCAAGTCTATCACTGCAATTTTTCCCATAGTATGTGCTCACTGTGTGTCTAGGTCCCATGTTGGTCATTCTCACACGGCTTCAAGCTTGCTCGTCATGCTACTGCACACGTCATAGACCACAGTGTCATGTCACTATCACTTTTCTGTGTACTGAGAAAGCAAGAAAGCCGTGGGACTTGTGTGATGGCGCTATCTGCCCAACTGCCACACTCTCTCTGAGGTTGGCCTGCACAGTCACAGGGCCTTAGGTCAGGCCCAGAGAGATGCAGAGAGCAGGAGAGACTCAGTTCTGCAGCAGAGATGAAAGGATCGTGAAGTGGAGACTCTAAAGATGACAACGGAGAGACAGATAGAGGCAAAGGGAGGGAGAGGCAGCAAGTTCCAGAGATGACAGAAGAGAAGGGGGAAGGCCAGGCTAGGCCAAGGTGAATGTGGCTGGTAGGGGAGGACTGCTAGTTACCTCGGTGGTTACTTTATACTCCTCCAGGGACTTGGCCAGGCTCTCTGCGTGGCAGGTGCGCTGGGAAAGCCCAAAGCTGACTGAGATTGGGCCCGGAACCCAGAGACTCAGGGGAGGGCGGGGAGGGAGGATGCTGTGAGCGTGGGGGAGGATGAGTGTCTAAGGGAGAGCACTGGTCAGAGGGGGTTTTAGGCCTGAGGCTGAACAGGGTCCTGCTGGCCGCCCCCACCTAGGGTTACAGATCTCCAGGTAGGACTTCCCTTCTGGCAGGTACGCAGGCCTCCTCCTCCTCTCCTCACCTCAGAGAGGATGGCATCTCGCTGGCAGATGAGGCACTCACACTCATAGATTTGTCGCTGCCAAGGAAGAGGAGTGTCCGTTGGTCCAGGGGCCCTGTCCTGCCCTCCCTCTTCTCCTTCTGGGCAGTCCCACATCTCTCCACCAGGGGCAGACAGCTGGGAGTTCTGCTGAGCTGCCAGGCTGCCTGCTTCTTGGGAGATCCCTGCTTTCACCATGTGGCAGAGCAGGAAGTGGTCAAAATGACCTGGGGAAGGGTGGGTGGCACCTTCAAGGCTTCCTTCTCCATGGCCAGCTCCTCACTCCGCTTCTTCACACCGTCGCGCTCCGCCAGTAACTTCCCATTCTGGAAGAAGAAGGGCCTTCAGGTTTGTTTCAACAATCAGGTTGCTCCTGCTCATGGATACCACTGCTTAGGGGAGCGTGGAGGCTCTGTACCACAAGCACTGGACTGTGAACCACAAGGTCGGTGGTTTGAGCCCACCAGCCACTCTGAGGGAGAAAGATGAGGCTTCCTACTTCTGCAAAGATTTACAGCCTTGGAAACCCTGTGTAGGGTCCTTATGAGTCAGAACGGACTCAACAGCACTTAAAACCAATTGCTCATGCCTCAAGGAGCCCTGGGGGTGCAACTGTGAAATAAAAGGTTGGCAGTTCGAACCCACCCGGAGTTCTATAAAACAAAGATCTGTCAACTTTCATAAAGGTGACACCTTGTCACATGAGGTCATTGTAAGTTGAAAATGATTTAACAGTATACAGTAACAAGCATTTACTATATTAGCCCATTGAATCCTCCTCGTCACCCAATGATTGCAGACTATCATCTCTGTGTGCTGGGACCCCTCAGTGGAAGTAATAAAGGGACATGTCTCATGGGGTCCACCACTCATCTGTCAGTATATTGTACTGTGGTGTTTATGTGGTGCTGTGATTCTGGAAGCTATGCCACTGGTAGTTTAGCAGAGTCACCCATGGACAGGTGTCAGATAAGCTCCCAGGCTAGGAGAGACTAAAAAGGAGAGACAGACTACTTCCAAATATTTAGTCACTGAAAACCTTATGAACAGCAGTGGGACACTGTCAGACAGCACCAGAATATTGAATACTGAAACATGATGAAGAGCACCAGAATACTGTCAGATTTAGTGCCGGAAAATGAACCCCTCACGTTGAAAGGCACTCAAAATACAACTAGGGAAGAGCTACCTCCTCAAAGTAGAGTTGACGGTGATGAGGTGATGATGTAAATAGAGTAAAGTTTTTGGGACCTTCATTCACTGATGGGCACAACTCACAAATGAAGAGATACAGCTGTAAACATCCACTAATAATCAGAACATTGAATGTACGAAGTATGAATTTAGGAAAATTGTTCATTGTCAAAAATGAAATATCACATATAAACATCGATCGATATCTTAGGTATTAGTGAGCTGAAATGGACTGGTATTGACCATTTTGAATATGATAATCACGTGGTTTACCGTGTTAGGAATAACAAATTGAAGAGGAATGGCATTACATTCATCATCAAAAAGAACAGTTCAAGATCTATCTTGAAGTACAATGCTATCTGTGATAGGATAATATCCAAAGTCTAAGAAGGAAGACAAGTTAATACAATCATTACTCAAATTTACAAACAAACCACTGAAGCAAGTGATGATGAAATTGAAGAAATCTACCAACTTCTTCAGTCTGAAATTGATCAAACATGCAATCAAAATGTATTGATAATTACTAGCGATTGGAATACAAAGATTGGAAACAGAAGGATTAGTAATTGGAAATATGCCTTGGTGATAGAAATAATGTTGGCAATCACATGATAGAATTTTGCGAGACCAATGACTTCTTCATTGCAAATAACCTTTTTTAAACAACAAAAAAGATGACTATACACATGGACCTCGCCAGATGGAATACACAGAAAAATAGACTATATTTGGGGGAAAAGATGGTGGAAAAGTTCCATATTATCTGCCAAAACAAGGCCAGGGGCAGACTGTGGAAAAGATCATCAATTGCTCATATGCTAGTTCAGGTTCAAGAAAATAAAAACAAGTCTATGAGACAAAATATGACCTTGAACATATCTCACCTGAATTTAGAGACCATCTGAACAACAAACAGATTTGATGAATTAAACACTAAAGACCGAAGACCACAAGAGTTGTGGGATGACATCAAGAACATCATACAGGAAGAAAGCAAAAGATCGTTTAGAAGAGAAGAAGGTAGAAAAAGATCAAAATGGATGTCAGAAGAGACTCTGAAACTTGTTCTCCAGTATACAGATGCTAAAGCAAATGGAAGAAATGAGGAGGTAAAAAGAGCTGACTAGAAAATTTCCAAGGGCAGCTTGAGAAAACAAAGTCAAACTATTATAATGAAATGTGCAAAGACCTGCAGTTAGAAAACCAAACGGGAAGAAGATGTTCAGCATTCCTCATGCTGAAAGAAGTGAATTAAAAATTCAAGTCCTGACTTGAAATATTGAAGGATATAATGCTGTTGGTTAATGCACTGAACTGCAATGTTCACTTAAACTGGAGGGCTGGTGGTTCAAGTTCACCAGCTGCTCCTCAGAAACCCTATACAAGGTCATTATGAGTTGGACCTCGACTCTATGGCACTCAACAACAATAACAAAATGGGTAAAATGTTAAATGAAGCAGAAAACATCAAAAGAAGATGGAAGAAAAACAGAGACACTACCAAAAAGAAATGGTTAATGTTCACCCATTTCAAGAGGTAGTATATTGATACTGAAGGAAGAAGTCCAAGGTGCACTGAAGGCATTGACAAAGAAGCCTCCAGGAATTGATGGGATACAAACGGAAATCTTTCAACAAACTGACGTGGCACTGGAGGCACTCACTCATCTATGCCGAGAAATCTGGAAGACAGCTAGCTGGCCAACTGATTGGAAGAGATCCATATTTGTTCCCATTCCAATGAGAGATGACCCAATGGAATGTGGAAATCGTCAGACAACATCAATATCACATGCAAGTAAAATTTTGCCAAAGATAATTTTTAAATGGTTGCAACAATATACTGACAAAAAACTACCAGAGGTTTAAGCCAGATTCAGACGAAGGTGTGGAAAGAGGGATACCTCTGCTATCTTCAGATGGATCTTAGCTGAAAGGAGAAGAGTATTGGAAAGATATTTACCTGTGCTTTATTGATTATGCAAAGGTTTTCAATTGTGTGGATCATGACAAGTAAGATGGGAGTAAGATGTGATAGTCTTCTTCCATAAAGGTGACAGCTTAAGAAACCCTATGTGGCCATTCTACTCTGTCCTATAGGGAGGCTGCTATGCATGGGACGCAACTGGACATCCATGGGTTTGGTTTGGGTTTAACAGTTGGTGACCACTTTGCAGGCAGGAACTCATCGTTCATCTCGTTTTAAAAATCAGGGAAGCTCAGGTACAGAAAGGTTAAGCAACTTGCTCCAGGTCACACAGGCAGGAATTCAAAAGTAAGTTAACAAGGACTTATGTCACAATGTGTCATTCAGGAGGAATCTGATGTCTGGTGGTTGAAACTACTGTTTTTATTCCGAAGCTCAATTTTCACGGAGGAAACTGAGGAGTAGAGAGGCTAAGACACTTGGACAAAGTCAAATTACATGATGAGTAAGCAGACTGAAACCCAAATCTGATTCCAAAGCCAGTACTTCTAACTTCCATTCTTTCCTCCTGAACCAGATGCATCTCTGGGTGGGAATGGGGACAGAGACGAAGAGAATCAGCTTCATCTGTCACCTCAATGAGCTCCTAGATTCCTGGTGGAGAGCAAGGTGGAGTAGACTGTTAAACAGAAAGGTGAGGCAGACTCTGCTGGGGTCAGCTGGCCTAGGTCCCATGGTGTGACGGGGAAGAACATCATCAGGAAAGGCTGCCCAGTGGGCAACACTGGGGCTGAAACCTCAAAGTGAAGCACAGGTGGGCCGGGGTGGGGTGGGATGGGCTCTTGTAAGCAAGAGGCCCAAATCCCAGTGTGGTATTTCTGGGTGCTGTGGCACTGTGGTTCGGTTCGTGGTGAGGATGTCCCCGGGGAGTGTGCTTGAGGTAGCCTAGGGCAGGCCCTTTCACCATATCCTTCTGTCTGTGGCCCTGTGAACACCAAGGCCAGCAGCTCCCTTCTACCAGTCTGGGCTTAGCTCCAAGTCTTCCATCAGCCACTCTCCTTCTGTCTCTGTCTCAGTCTCAGCGGGCCCAGGGTTGCCAGGTGAAGGGCAGAGTAAGGACGGGCCAGGAATGCTGTGTCAACATCTGTCCACCTGGTTGGGATTTGCAGCCAGGATCCGGGCCACACAGCAGGAAACCAGGTGACTCAGCTGCTCTAGCTGGCGGATCTTCTTCTGCAGTAACCTGAACCTCGCTCCATAGGATCTCTGGAGGAAAGCTGCCTCGAACCTGAACCTGGTCTCTCCAGTGTCTCTTCCCTCCTGCATATGCTATTGTAACTTGAGAACCGTATCTATAGCAGCTCTGTAGGCAGCTGCAGTGAGAGGGGCAGGCGGAGGATTGGAGGGAGCCAAGAATAGCTCCAGTTTATCGAGCGCCTTGGATGTGCCAGGTGATGGCGAGACAGAGGTCATTCATCTCTCTTCGTCTTTTTCTGCCAACAGAAAACTGTATTGTCCAGGGTCCAGTCTCTACCTCTTGGGGCAGCTGGGTCCCAGTTGCAGCCCCAGTCCTAGGGGATGAATGGAGACTGTCAATCTCAGTGGAGACGGGCGACTCTGCTGGATGGCTAGTTCTAGTTTGTCAGACTTTCTGGGCCTTCCTTGAGGCAAGGCTGAGGTGTAAGTTCTGGCAAGTGAGATGTAAGGGGGGGCTGCTGGGGAAGTTTCTGGAAAGTTTTCTTCTGGCAAAAAGGGAGACCCTCAAGGGGAGCATTTCCTGGGGTCCTCTCTTTTCCATGTCATCCTGTTTTGAGAAGAACACCATGAAGCAGCCATCTGTGATCATGAAGTCAAAGGCTAACCAACATGTTCAAAGCAACCCAGAGATGACCACACAATTACCTCCAAAAGTCTCTTGCGGGGCAAGCAAGCATCCTCAATGCTGAAATCACTGTTTCCTTGGTGATCTGTTCCCAACTGATCCAAGGCCACTTTACCCAGGACAGGACATGGTTTGGGTGTGGCCATTTGATGCCAGTCTAGATAAGGGCTGTGAGCTGAAGCAGGCTTTATTGTTGTTGTAAGTGCCATCAGGTCAGTTGCAATTCATAGCGACCCTATATAGGGTTTCTGAGGAGCAGCTGGTGAGCTTGAACTGTTGACCTTGTGGTTCAAACTGAACTTGCAGTCCAGCACATTAACCTGCAGCGCCACACCAGGACTTTAGGGGAAATTTTTTCTCATTCTTAAGAAATATTCTGTAATTGAATGAATGAATGTGGCTAGATTCTGGGCCACAACCTCACCAACTGTAAATCTAGCATTCCTTTTTTTCACTGAATAAACTGATCTTTATTGAGCAAAAAAAGAAATATTCTAGTGGGGGCTTGGGGGGCCCAGTGGTAGCATTCTCTCTTGCCTTTCATGGAGGAATTCCAGGTTTCATTACCAGTCAACAAGCTTCATGTGCAGCCACCAGCCATCTATCAGTAGAGGCATGCTTGTTGCTATGACAATGAACAGCTTTCAAGGAAGCTTCCAGACAAAGAGTAGGAAGCAAGGCCTGGCCATCTACTTCCAAAAATCAGCCAATGAAAACCCTATGGGACACAAGGGTTTGATCCACAATCAATCATGGGGGCAGCATAGGTCCTGGCAATGTCTTGTTCCACTGTGCATAAGGTGGTCATAAGTAGAGGGCCCACAAGACAGCAGCCAACAATGATGACGAAGAGATGTTATGGAAGCAACAGTCACATGCCATCTGGTTGTGAGATTCCCATAACCCCAAGGGGGTAAAATTTCATGTTAGATGCAGAGGAAAATGTGGCAGTGTTTGGATTTTAAATTGGAAAGTCATAGCATGTAGAGATGCTAAAGCAAATGGAAGAAATGAGAAGGTAAAAGAGTTGAACAGAAAATTTCAAAGGGCAACTTGAGAAGATGAAGTCAAATATTATAATGCAATGTTCAAAGACCTGGAGTTAGAAAACCAAAATGGAAAAACACGCTCAGCGTTTCTCAAGCTGAAAGAACTGAGGAAAAATTCAAGCCTTGACTTACAACACTGAAGGATTCTATTGGCAAAATATTGAATGATGTAGAAAGCATCAAAAGAAGATGCAAGGAATATGTAGAATCACTGTATCAAAAAGCAATGGTCAATGTTCAACCATTTCAAGAGGTAGCCTATGATCAAGAGCCAATGGTACTAAAGGAAGAAGTACAGGTGCACTGGAAGCATTGGCAAAGAATAAGGCTCTGAGAATTGATGGAATACAAATTGAAGTCTTTCAACGAACTGATGCACTACTGGAGTTATTTATTTATCCATGCCAAAAAATTTGGGAGACAGTTATATGGCCAACTGATTGGAAGAGACCCATATTTGTTCCCATTCCAAAGAAAAGTGACCTAATGGAATGTGTAAATCATCAAACAATATCATTAATATTGCATGTCAGTAAAATTTTGCTAAAGATAATTGAAAATGGCTGCAACAGTACATTGACAGGGAACTGCCAGAGGTTCAAGCCAAGTTCAGATGAGGACGTGGAACAAGGGGCATTATTGTTGATGTCTGATGGATCCTGGCTGAAAACAGAGAATACCAAAAGGATGTTGACCTGTGCTGTATTGACTAAGCAAAGGTATTCGACTGTGTGGACCATGACAAGTTATGGACAACATTGCAGAGAATGAGTATTTTGGAACACTTAACTGTGCTCATGAGGAACCTGTACATAGACTAAGAGGCAATTGTTTGGGCAGAACAAGGGAACACTGAATGGTTTAAAATCAAGAATGGTGTGTGCCAGGACTATATTCTTCCATCATACTTATTTAATCTGTATGCTGAGCAAATAATCTAAGAAACTGGATTATATGAAGAAGAATGTGATATCAGGACTGGAGGAAGACTCATTAACAACCTGTGATATACAGATGAGGTGAGACAACCTTGCTTTCTGAAAGCAAAGAGGACATAAAATACTTACTGATGAAGATCAAAGGCTACAGCCTTCAATATGGGTTGCATCTCAATGTAAAATAAAACCCAAAATTTTTAACACCAGACCAATAAATAACATCATGATAAATGCAGAAAAGATTGAAGTTGTTATAGATTTCATTTTGCTTGGATCTACCAACAACACTCATGGAATCAGCAGTCAAAAAAATCAAACAATGTATTGCATTAGGCAAATCTGCTGCACAAGACCTCTTTAAATAAAATGTTCAAGAGCAATGGTATCACTTTGAAGACTAAGGTGCACCTGACCCAAGCCATGGTATTTTCAACAGCCTCATATGCATATGACAGTTGGACTGTGAATAAGGAAGACTGTAGAAGAATGGATGCATTTTGAGTTATGGTGTTGGAGGAGAATATTAAAAGTACCATGTATCGCCAAAAGAACAAACAGATCTGTGTTGTAGTACGTACAGTCAGAATGCTCCTTAGAAGCCAGGATGGCAAGACTTTTTCTCTTATATTTCAGACATATTATCAGGAGGGATCTGTCTCTGGAGAAGTATATCATGCTTGGTAGAGTGAAGAGTCGGCAACAAAGAAGACCCTCAACAAGATAGACTGGGCACAGTGGTTGCAGCAATGGGCTCAAAGACAATAATAATTGTGAGGCTGGCACACAGAACTGGGCAGGATTTCATTCTGTTGTGCACATGGTTACTATGAGTTGGGACCCGACTTGATGGCACCTCACAACAACAGTGCTGATGTGGGATAGAGCAATGTGGGGGGAAATACATGAACCAGTGGAACCAGTATCACTCCCTACCACAGTGGAGCTGGGGAGGGTGCCAGAGAGTCAGTGAGGAGAGAAATAGCCAGGTTAGCTCTGATATAGGGTGCCCACTGAACCCCTAGGAAGTTTGAGACTCTGGTAAACACTGTGCTCTTTTCCCAGCTCAATCTCAGCAAGGTGTGAGAATCACAGAGGGGAGATGAGCAGCTGAGACCAAGAAAGATCAGTGAGGATCTGTCCTCAAAGAATTACAGGAAAGTAGAGAAACTCCCCTCAGTGATCAGAAGGCAAGGCAGGGCTCTCAGCCTGCAGTGATGAGGGGCGAGGAGCAGATGGTATGAGGGACATCAATCTGGTGAGCAGCAGACAGAACTGACATTGAGGGACAACCTGGAGCATGAAGGTGCTGCCTGGGTCCTCTGCACTTTAGATGCTACATTGGTGGTAAGGGGAGGTGATATTCAATTTCAACCTCAAAGGACTAAGTTGGCCCAGAACCAACCAAGATGATGTTTCTGTCTCTGATGGAATGGGTGCTTAAATTAGAGTTGAGGTTAAACAGGCCTGTTCATTCAAAAGGCAAGGTGTCCTGAACTTTCGCTTAAACCCCAACAACCCCACTGACCAGATACCATTCTCCCCAGTATATAACTGAGGCTGAGAGAGATGCCATTGGCTTACAGATTGCCTGTCAGGTAAGTGGTAGAGATGGGAACCAAAGTCTGGGCAGTCTGACTACAAAGCCTGTGCTCTTACCACCATAAAATAATAATACATCAACAACACTGACGGCTCCACAGGGGAAAGACTCAGAGATCTGCTTCCATAACGATAGTCTTGGGAACCTATGGGGCAGTCCTACTCTTCCTCTCAGGAGTCTATGATTCTGAATCCACTGGACAGCAGTGGGTTTGTCTGGGGTTCTGGTCCTATGGATCCTGCTTTGTGACCAAGACTTCTTGTTGCTAAGTGCCTCAAGATGAGAAGTACATAAACTCAGGCAACCCCATCAGGGAGACTCTGTCATCATGCCCATGTTTTGTGGGTGAGGACATGGGGGCACAGTGTGAGGGGGGTACTGGCTTAAGTTTGTGCAGGTGGCCTCACTGGGAACCCCAGTAGTCCAGCCACATCCCTCCCCAACTCTTAACATTCCTGATGATTCTCACATTCTGCAATGTGACTTTCAGAAGGTGTTGTACACTACGTCCTCCACCTGGGCTGCTGGGGGCCAGGGAGATGGGGGTAGGAGGGCAGGGCCTCAGCTCACCTCCTCCTGCAGAGTCTCCATCTTGGCCACCAGGTGCTGCTGCTCCTTCTCCTGTCCAACCCCAGTGAAGACAAAGGCTTTGTTTCCAGCCTCTCTGCTCTGCCCCCACCCCCTCACTGGGTCTTCTCCCACCAGGGAGCAGGGCTGGGGGATGGGTTGGCAGAGCCCTGATAGTGCCCGCAGTCCCTTTTGTGAGGAGAAGCAGGGCAGGCAGATTCAGGGAAGTCTGGGGCAAGCAGGACTAGGGTCAGAAAGGAAGGCAGGGTTCCCCTATCCCTCTGGTGTCCGACACCAGGACAGAGGAGCAACCCACCATCTGCCGGGCCTGGGCCAGGAGGCCTCGATTCTGTTCCTCCAGGCTCTTGGCCAGGGTCTTCAGGTCCTCCAGCTCTTCCTCCACAGCCTTGGCAAACTGCAGAGCCTGCTGGGCACTGAGGGGGCAGATGGGACACAGGGGAGAGTGGAAGGCAGAGATGCAGAGAGAAAGATGCACACAGAAAGATAGGAGCAAGAGAGAAGTCCAGTAATAGGGACAGAGTCCGAGAAAGAGAGGGGGACAGAGACCCAGAGAAAGAAGGGGGCAGAGACTCAGAGAGAGGGGGCAGAGACACAGAGAGAAGGGGATAGAAACCCAAAGAGACAGGAGGACAGAGGCCCAGAGAGAAAGGGGGACAGAGACTCAGAGAAGGGGGAGGGAACCAGAGAAAGAGCAGGGACCGAGATGGGGGGGGGGGCGCCCCCGCAGGGATCCTGAGACTCAGTCAGAGGGACTTTCAGTGGGTGTGATGACAGACAGATGTAGGGAAAGGAAAAGGACAGTGGCAAGGAGTATCACACTGAAACACAGAGGCTGAGAGACAAGAGCCACAAAGGAAGAAAGGCAAAGGGAAACCAGGGGCAGATACAGTGACAAAGACACAGAACACTGGGGTTGCAGAGTCTCCCACCTGCGGAGCTGCCTGCGCAGGGCCACCATCTCCTCGCCCAGGTGTGTGTTGCCCTCCTCGGCTGTCTCTAGGCTCCGCTGGAGCTTGGTGTTTTCCTCAGTTAGCCGCCGGTTGCTGAGCTCCAGGTCCTCCAGGGTGCTCAGCAGGTCGGCTGTGGCAGGCCTGGGGGTGAGATCTAGGTTCACTGCAGCCGGCCTGCCATCCCAGGCCATGTAACGTGTGCAGGGTGTATGTGGACAAAGAGAAGGCTGATGGCCAAGCCCCATCCCACATACACTTTCCCCAGTGACCCCCAAGGCTAGCAGGGAGCACAAGGATGAGGAAGGGACGGGAGGGGGTTCTGTGGATAAGTACAGCTCAGGTCTGGGGTCTTCTTCGTCTCCAAAGCTCTCCAGGTTGGCTGACTCTTCAGCTGCTGAGCATCCTGGAAGGAGGAAGACAGGTGGGGTATGGAGCTCCCTGTGAGGTATGGTTAAATGTTGGGTTGCCCAGGCTCTGGGTTTAGCCTTCCTCTGGTCTCCACCCTTACATCCACTCCATGGACTCATCTACTTCCAGGCTCTTGTACCTGGAGCCTAGCTGGGACTTCCTGGGTGATCCGTCTGTCTTAGCCTCTCCTGCCAGCTCTTCTCTTAGGTATGGTCGCATTATCCAGCCAGTCACTGGGCTGTCCTGGCCCCTTTGCTCCTCCCTTCCTCAGCTCCCAGGCTGTCCCCCTGCCCCTCCTCTTTTGTCTCCCCTGGATCATCACCCCAGCCTTCTTCCCGGATTCTATGTCTTCAGCCTTCTCCTCTGGCCTGTCTGCACCCCACAAGACCTTAGAGAGGTCTTTTGCCAACTAGAACTGACCCACCCACCCTGCTCACAGCCCACCCCCACTTCCCACTCCTAGCCTAACTGGAGCAGGTTCAAGACAAAGTCAGGAAAGCTGGGGGTTTTCTCTCCTTTTTTGTAAAACCTCAAAACCATCCCATTGCCATCAAGTCCATTCCTACTCAGTGACCTGTATAAGATTTCCAAGACTGTAAATCCTTATGGGAGCAGACGGCCTCATCTTTTTTCCATGCAGTGGCTGGTGGATTTGAACTTCCAACTTTGGAGTCAGCAGTCCAACTCCTAACCCACATCGCCACCATGATTCCTTACTTTTTTGTAAGGCAGGAGAAATACAACAGAAACTCTGTAAAACAGTGCCTCCTATGAATGAAGGAACCCTAGTGCCTCAATGGGTTAAGCCCCTCAGAGGAAGAAAGATGAGGCCAGCTGCCCCTGTAAAAACCTGCAGTCTCAGAGACCTTATGTGGTGGTTCTATGCTGCCCTATGGATCGGCATCTACTTGATGGCATTGGGTTTGGGTTTTTGGTTTTCCTGTGAATGGGGTCCTGGGGGACCTGGTGAGCAAACACACAGATACAACCTTGGGACAGTAACTAACCAGCTACTCAGATTTTTGGGATCAAGGATCAGAACCTTGGACTGTGGCCTGGGGGGCTGCCCTGGGGAGGCGCCTCTATACTCAGATTATGAAGGATGAGGCAGATGGAAAGGCGAGACAGAATGGGAGGGGCCAGGAACATTCCCAGAACAGCTGCCAGGCCCAGGGATCACTAAAGAGTAAAGGGGAGCCCAGCTTTAGTGATGTCAGGGGTTGGTGGGCCTCTTGGGTTGACCACAACAGCAGTAGGGTGGTGGAGGTAGAAGAGGAGTAAGAGGAAGAAGAGCTAGAAAGCTTCTAAGGAGAACCCCCAAAACTGTCAGCAAAGGACTAAGGGGAGAGGGTAGCCATGGAAGGTCCTAGAAAGCCAGACTCCACTTGAGGCTGCTGCACTTCCAGGCTCCACTACGCTGCCACCGTGGGTGGGGTGGCCCACTGTCTGACTCTGGGCCCTGCCTGCTTCATTCTATAGATAGTAATCTCACCAGATGGCAGCTGCTGGGGGGTCAGAGCCCCCTCGAAGGCGGTCTCCTCTTCCAGCTCTAATCCCCTGTATCAAAGGGCTGAGGCTCAGAGCCCCTGCGGACACGACAGGGGGCTGGCCTGTCAGGGGCAGCGGGTAGGCATGAAGGAAGGAAGGTAGGGCCGGATGGTACCTCCCCCCGCCCCCCGGACCAGACGGGTGGTGGGGGGGGGAACAAGAGGGGCAAGGACTGGGTGTAGAGGAGGTCTCTTTATTCCCCTTTTATTCCTGGCTCCAGGCCCTCAGAGCCCTCCCCTCCCCTCAGGCCTCCCACTAGCCCCACCTCTACATTTATCTGGTTTCCTGAGCTCCATTCCAACCACTATAGGTCCCAGGGCCCACAGGGTGCTGACTACAGTGAGCATGTTAAGGGGCAGACCTGAGGAAGGACTTCTTGGAAGAAGGTACCTGTCTGGGGACCCACCTGTCCAGTTGACAGGCAGCAATCCAGTCCCGCATGACAGCCAGGAAGGTGTCTAGGTCTACAGTGGCCTGAGGGCCCTCCCTGTTGGGATCCAGGCTGCGGGCCAATGTTTGGAGGCATGCATCCTTGGGTCCTCGTCCTGTTACAGTCTCCAGGTAGGCCACCACATGGGTCACAGCCACAGTGCCTGTAGGCAGGGTGTGGTGAGGGGGATCTGGGGCAGCTGGGGGTGAGGGTTGGCTGTGGCCTGGGGGGCAGAACCCTTGTCTGAGGCCAGACTGCCAGTCAGAGAGAACTGAGGACAAACCCTTCCCTTGCCCCTCCGTCAAAATTCTCCTCAGGAATGTCTCTAGTCCTGTTCCATCAGACACCACGAATGCTGGCTGCGAACCCTCCCAGTCCCAGACTTCTGTCTCCCAATTCTCTCCTTTCCCCAGTGTTCTCAAAGTGTCCCTCATCCCTTGTCCACTTTATCCCTGAAGCATTCCACAATCAGGTACTTTGTCCAAATAGGACCCCATCCAATGGGCCTCAGCCCAGGCCTCTCTACATCCCTAGTCTGCCCACTCCCCATGCCCTTTCTCCTCCCACCTGTCCTTTGGGGGTCACAGGCTTCAAACGTGGAGTTGAGGACTTGCTCCTCTAAGCTGAGACGTGTCCTTAGACTGCCATCTTCGGGTTGGTCCCAGAGGTACACTGAGGACAAGAAGGCCCAGCAACAAATGAGGAAGAGGAAAAGGGGAGGGGAGGGAGCCTGGGTCTCCTGACTGAGTCCCTCAGCAACTCATTTGGAGAAGCCTGGAGTGGGGGCTGATGGGGAACAGCAGGAAGCTTGGAGAGGGGACATTTGTTAGGTCTATAGGAGCCCCATTTTCACCTTCCTCCACAAACCCAACCCACAACCCAATCCACCGCTGCAGAGTGGATTCTGATTTATAGTGAGCCTATAGGACAGAGTTGAACTGCCCCACAGGGTTTCTAAGGCTGTCATCTTTATGGAAGGAGCCATGGTGGTGCAGTAGTTAAAGTACTAAGGCTGCTAACCAAGGTTCCATGCCTCCAACTAATTCTTGGGAGAAGTATATGGCAGTCTGCTTTCGTACAGGTGACAGCTTTGGATACTTCAAGGGGCAGTTTCCTTTAGTATACAGGTCGGAATCAATTTGGGGTTGGTTTTGGTTGAATCTCTACAGAAGTAGTCTGCCACATCTTCTGCTGAGTGGATAGTGGATTGAACGGCTGACCTCTGGGTTAGCAGCCTGATACTTAATCACTAAGCTTGGAGGGAACCCCGATCCTTTATCACTCTGTCAGTCCACCAATCAGGAGCCCAGAGAAGGCTCCACACTTAGGTTTTCCTCCTCACTGCCTAGCCCTGGATTCTGAGAGAGGATTCTGGGAAGAGACCAGGGTGAAGCCCTCCCCTTCCCGCCCCCACTGCCCCAGCCAGGAACAATCCGATAATGCCAGGCAGTCCACATCGATCCTGCTGGCCACATCTCCGGTCTCCTAGCCTGCCGGGGCGGGGCTGCTTACTCTCCTCCAGAGGTGAGGCTGGCGTCATTGGCCCAGGCCAGGGGCCCCATCACATGGGGGTGGGGTGACCCAGACAGAGTGGGCATTGTGGGTGGGCAGGCCAACCTGGGCTTTGAGCCCTGCTGCAATGGGACTCAGAGCCACCCTTGTTTCCCCACAAGTAAAGTGGGGTTGGGGAGCCCTGGTGGAACGACAGTTAAGCAAGTGTTCCACTGCTAACTGAAAGGTCAATGGTTTGAATCCACCAGTTACTCTGAGAGGAAAGACCTGGCAATCTGCTCCTGCAAAGAATCCAGCTGAGAAATGGGCTGGCTGAGTTAAAAATCAAGCCATGGCCGCTAGCTAATACAGCACAGTGGGGGTGGGATGACCCCCCCACCTCCCGCACTCACTCACTAGAGCTATGTATGGGAATGGGAAGACCACTGTATCCTGGGGTCTCTTCTGGTCACTGCTGTGTCCACAGTGTCTGCACAAAGTAGACACTCAATAGATTTACACCTATCCTGACCTCAGCTGGGTGCAGTGAGTGGCACCCCGGGGACAGGATGTGGGGTGGGTTAGGCTACTCTGGCCTCTGGGAGCTGTTTCCAGCTCTGGAGAGTTCTCATGGTGTTACCTCACTCCCGGGGAACCCCATGTGGTGGTGTGTTCCCCTGGGGTTCCAAGACTGAATCTTTATGGGAGAAGGCTACCTCATCCTCACTTTTTTCTTGAAGAGTAGCCGGTGAGCTCAAGCTGCCGACCTTTCAGTTAGCAGCCCAACACTTAACACAAGGCGCCACCAGGACTCCTTCTCCTGGGGAAGGAATGAGGTGTAATACAGTAAACTGCCGGTACTTAGCAGGTGTCAGGACTGTTCTGGGCATGTCTCTTCCCCCCAACCCCTACCCCGTGGGTGGTTGGTATTAGCCCCACTTCACCCAGAAGAGTGAGGCACAGAGAAGTCAGGGACTTACACAAGGCCACCTGTTGGACATATGCACTCCTTTGTGACCCCGATACTTCAAGGGTTCTCTGTAGTGAGCTGAACGGGGCACCCTTGGATTTGAACCCATACACCTAGGCTTGTCCCTTGGGACAGGATTGGGGACCCACAATTAGAAGAGACCTCAGGGCCTATGCCAGGGGCTTTCCCAGAAGTCTCCTCTCCTCTCACTCCTCTGCCAGGGGTGTGGACCATCAGAACTCTGTATCTCTCCTCACTCAGCACCTCTCTATCTCAGTCTGCCCCTTCTCCATAGCTCCTTCTCTCCTTCAGTTCCAGCCTGTCCTCCCTGTGTCCTGCTTCTTTGGGTCTTTTGCCCCCATTTTCTTTCCTGGGTCCTCATCCTCTATCTCTTCTCTTCCCCTATCTCAGCGCCTCTGCTCCCAGAGCCTTCTCGGTCCTTTCTCCTGCAGTCTCTTAGCTTCAGGGTGTGTTCTTCCCTTCTCCCTAAGCTCCAGTCAGCCACTTCTGTGGTAGCCGCACGCCCTCTGCTGGTACATGTGAAGTTTAGGTGCAAGTCGCATGCAGGGCTGCCCTCGTTTCTACGCCCCCAATCTCTGTTCCCCTCTGTCTCTGCCTTCGGCTTTCCCACCTGGAAACTAAGTCTGGAGTCTTGAGGAAAGCTGACAGCTGGGAGCCTCTTAGCAAGGAGCCTTGCTTCCCCTTTCAGACGGAATCTCCCGAAGTGTGTGTGTGGGGGGGGGGGCAGGAGGGGCTGCTTTCATATCAGATTGAGAGCTGCTTGAGGGTGCTTACAACAGTCTCAAGGGTTCTACCACTCCTGCCACTCCTGGGCCTATCCTTTGGTCAGACTTCCTCCTTCTCCTCTGGCCTCCGTTTCCCCTTTGGAAAAAGGGAACAGGAACATTTTGTTCTGAGGAACAGTATGGTTTTGAAATCACTACCATCTGTGGAATCCTGGTGTAGCGCTGTGGGTTAATAATACGCATTGGACTGCAAGGTTGGCTTGAACCACAAGGGCCGAGGTTCAAGCTCACCAGCTGCTCCTCGGAAACCCTATACAGGGTCACTATGGGTTGGAACTGACTCGATGGCACTTAACAACACCATCTGTGGAGAGGGCTAGCCTTATCCCAGCTTCATGTCCCAACATCCTTTAAGATGGCCCCATCTTTATTCCCCAGGCAGCAGTGGGGTCACCCAATGCCTTTCTCCCAAAGCAGCTTTTACACCCACTTGGTCTTCATCTTCCATCACTCGAAATCATGATTGTGTTCTTACTATATGCCAAACATTAGAATCGTGTTGACTACTGTGATTGCTAACAGTCCAGTCAATTTTGACTCATGGTGACCCTGTAAAAGCATCAGCTGGTGGGTTTGAACCACTGATCTTATGATGAACAGTCCAGTGCTTATCCTACAATACTATACCAGGGGTCTGCTGACCACTATGATGAAGGTACATTGAAATCCTGTTAGTGTAAAATACACATATCAGCTCTTGAAGAGTTAGTATGAATACAAGAGGTGGCACATTGGGTTAAGTGTTAAGCCTGTTAACCTCAAGGTTGGCAGTTCAAATCTACTAGCAGCTCAGCAGAAGAAAGATGCAGCTGTGTGTATGTTCCTGTCAAGATGTAAGACCACATCTTACATCCTATGGGGCAGTACTGCTCTGTCCTATAGACTGGACAGCAGTGGGCTACTGGGAGTATTCTCATCAGCACATTTTTACATTGTACTGATTGTACAGGCTGAAAGGGTACTATTTTGGATATATTGGATTAAATAAAATCTATTATTGTCATTCATTTCACCTGTGTCTTTTTACCTTTTTTTAAAAAAATATGTGATGACTAAGAAATTGGAAACTACAGATGTGGTGCAGGTGTAGCCTTGATTGGACAGTGCTGCTCTAGGGGTTGGGGTCCCGAGGGAATAACACAGCTTACATTTTAGTGAAGTGGAAAGAGATGAAACTGACACAGTGCTGAGAAGTAAAGCAAAGTGGGAAAGGGGAGAGTCACAGGGCAGCTGTCATCTGTGTGGTAAGGGGTGGCGTTTGGACTTGAGAGCTGAGGAGAGTGAGGGATAAGCCTGTGGGGGTCTGGGAAAGAGAGTTCCAGGCAGAACAGTGCACGCAAAGGCTTTTGCTCTCACCCATTTGGCCTTCGCACAGGAAATGAGTACTGGTGTACAGTTAGGAGTACTGGTGTGGCACTAGAGGATCAGCTCTGGACTGCTAACCAACAGGTTGATGGTTAAAACCCACCAGCCGCTCCTTGGAAACCCTACAGGTATAAGTCAGAACTGACTCGATGGTACTTAACAGACAGTTGGGCACATCAAACCAAACCAAACCCATTGCCACTGAGTCGATTCCAACCCTACTGATCCTGCAGGACCGAGTAGAACTGTCCCATAGGGTTTCCTAGGCAGATCTCCCAAAGAAGCCGCTGGGAAGATCTGAATCAGTGACCTTAACCACTGTACCATTAGGGCTCTTTAGGTGGACACACAGTAAGCATTTAATCAACGTTTGCTCTCTCCCACCCAACCCTGACCCTAGATGGAGATTCAGTCACTTCAAGTCACTTCTCCCGTCACCAGGCCCCATCTGGCACCCGTTCACCCACTGCTCACTCTTCAGACCCTGAAGCCCAGCCACCTACTTGCTGCAGCAGGGCCACTCGACTGGCCCTCAGGCAGGTCCATGGGCCAACCCCTTGACTCCGTAGCTGCAGGTGAAGCTAGCAGCCTCCCTCCATCACTGGGAGGGGCTGGGAGGGAACCGGCTGCCTCCAGAGCTCCTGGAAAGACAATGGGGGAATGGCCACCTCAGACCAGCCACCTGTGGGTGGGGGCCTGCCCCGCCTGCGCTCCAGGACTCAGAACCTGTTTGTCTAACCCCGCCTAGACCAGGGCAGTGCCCGCTCCAACCTGTTTTATGGACTGGAGGTGTAGGCTGGAAAAATGGGGGCCTCAGGTGCAGGCAGCAGAAATCAAAGGAGGACCAGCAGGTGAGGGACAGAGGGACCTCCTAGACTCCCGTCCTCACTATGGCCCTGGCTCAGGCCTCGTCCTCTCCCCTGGGCCTCCCAGCCTCTCTCCTCTAGTCCATTCTCCACACAGCCATTCCTCCTCTGCTCAGTAACCTTCCATGGCTCCAGCATCCCAGGAAAAGTCCTGCTTGGTCTGGCCCTGTTCACTTCCCCACCATAAATTTCACTGGATGTTCCACCAACTCAAAACAGTGTGCCTCTCACTTTCCCCGACAGGCCATTGTCACAGACACTGACTCTCTTCAATCCTCCTATCTCGGCTCCAACGTCTATCCCTCTGGGAAGACGTTCTGATTCCCACTCTTGGGTTGAAGTGGGCATGTCTCTGCGCCCCCATCCACACTGCCCTGACCTCTGATCATTATTGCCCTATCCTCTTGTATCTGGACTGTCTGCCTCTCACAAATATGACACCATCTCTCCCTTGCTCCCAAATGTCTCATGGCTCTCTAGTGACCCCAGTACTAAGTCCCAGCCCCTTGGGCAAGTGTTCAAGGCTCTGCATGGGGGGGGGGTGTCCCTGAAACACTCTTCCTCTCTTTGTCATTTCTCTCTCCCTTGGCCCATCCTTAGGTCCCTCACCTCTCCTGGACCCCCTCTGCCATGCTCCCACCATGCTCTGAGCTGCCTCCTTTACAAGCAGGTCAACCACTCGACTTTTCACCCACAATGCTGGACAATGGGGCTGCCCTGGACATGCCAGGGCAAACAGTCAATGCTGCTGTGACCCTCAGGGCTGTCTGTCTGGGGCTTTCTGTCCCCCCCCCCCGGGGGGTAGTAGGGTACCCTCGCCTCTGTGTTCTTACTGAATACTCCCAGCACCCTGATCTCCCCGATGCCGATAGGGATCCACAGCCGTAGGTTGAGCGTTTCTTGACGACTTCTAGGTGGTCCTAGAAAAGGGGGTCTTTGCAGAGAGACCCTTCCAGAGTTTGGACAACCCTCCAGTGGGCCAAAGGAGGCACGGCTGTGGGGCCTGAGTGGGGTAGTCGGGGTAGTCCCTGCTGGGGTGCTAATGGTAGCTGTATGACAGTGTTGGGGGACTAACTTCTGAGGTGGTCCCGAGGGGCTCCAGTCAGATCACTGAGGGCCTCAAGGATCTGCAGCAGGAGGTCTCTGCAGGAATTCTTGGGGGTCTCTAGCTGGATTTTGGTGAGTCTTTTGACAGAATTTCTGGGGGTCTCTGACAGAACTTTGAGGAGTGTGTATGAGTCTTTGACAAGATTTCTGTGGGGTCTCCAACTGGAGTTGAGTGAATTTAATAGGATTTTGGGAGGAATCTGACAAGAAGTTTGATGGGTTTGACAGATTTTTCTGGCTGGTCTAATAGGATTTTTGGGGTGAAACAGGATTTCAGGGGAGTCTCTGGCAGACTTTGAAAAGGGCCAAGAGAATTTCCAAAAGATTCCAACAGGGTTCTGGAGCCCACCTGTAAGATTTCTGGCTTTTTTTGTGTGTGTTTCTGAGGTGATTTTGTCAAGAATTAAGAGGCCCTGACAGGATTTGAGAGACCCTATCCTGGTGTGGTACTTACTGTAGGATAATACGCTAGATGCAGGGTCTGTTTGAACTGCAAGTCTGGCGGTTCAAACTCACCAGTTGCTCCTCGGAAACCCTACACAGAACTGACTAGACGGCCATTAACCGAAATACTGAGGAGACCGCAACGTGTTTTTTGTTGGGATATTGGGGAGTCTTTATGGCTTGGGGGGCTGTGCCAGGATTTCAGGAAGGGCTCTCATCCCTAGGCTATTCTGGGGTAGCTCGCCAAACGCAGGACGCACCTGGAGCCACGTCCCACTCTTGGGACAACGACGAGTCACAAACGACGAAAGGTAGTTATGCTCAGGCAAAATGCGCGTGCGCTCTTCCCGCCAGAATAAAAAAGCTAGGGCAGGGTGGTGACCATCCGAGCATGCGCACAGCGTTAAAACCCCGCCTACCGGGGGAGGGTTTTCCCTCGGTGCAGGCGCAATCGCAAGAAGGCGCGCGCCTTTCGTGTGGATTACCTGTAGCGATGAGGTCGCGCATGCGTAGGTCTGCCAAAGCGCGCATCCAAGCGGGTAGAGCGGGCGCGTGCCCGTTGGCTGGGCGGCTAAAGGCTAGACGGCTGGTGGGTGGTGAAAAGCGGGAGAGCTCGCGGCGTTGGGTTCTTCGGCGGCGACCCAAACTTCTGTGAAATGGGTCGGAGCAAGGGAGAGTTGGACTGAAGGACCCCTCTGCCATCCTTCACTTGTTATCAGTCCTCAAGCTGTGGCCCAGTCTGCCCCCTGTTCCCAGCCAGGCTCCCCAACACCGTCACAAAGACCAGCCTCATTTCAACGGACGTCACCTCCCACGCTCTTTCATGGTTCTGTTCACGTTGTCCTAATAGGTCCTCGAAGGAATCTTTCCCAAACTATTTTTTTCATCTCATTTAGGAGAGAGGGGCAAAAAAAATGTGTTTCTAGATGCCCAGCTTTTCTGGCTAGAGAGAATTACATTCAAATATGATTTCCAAGAAAGGATACGAAACAAAAGAGACCCTCTCCACTTTGTCTAGTGCAGACACAGAAAGAATCCTCTTGAACAACCTTGTTCATCCAACCCCTGCTTGTTCAAGGGTTGGATGAACAATGTTAACCTGTCACTTTCTCAGAAAGGCCACACTACTGTAAAACAAAAATCATTTTAAGCCAATAATGTTGTTGTCAGGCGCCATCGAGTCGGAACCGACTCATAGCGACCCCATGCACAGCAGAACGAAACAATGTCCGATCCTGGGCCAACTACCGCTGCCACACTTGACGCCATCAATGATATCACCTGGCTGATCCATCTTTAATATACTTTTTGCTAATTGGCGCAACATTTCTGACTGTTAAGTGCCATCGAGTCGGTTCCTGACTAGAAAGTAAAAAATGTTCCAAGGAAGAAAGAACTTCTAAAGATTCTTATACCCAATCTTATTGCTAGTAACTTATAAGTTGCAGTGAAAATAGGGCTGAAACATTTTCTTGAATAGTTCAGATCAGATAATTACTGATTTACCCTCAAACATAACTCTAATCTGACCTTTGGAGTTGCTGCTGTGGAAACTACACGTAGAGAATTCTCTAAAAGAGTACAATGTCTAAGGTAAAATTTCTTTACTAATTAATCTTGGCAGCTGTTTGACACAAACCAATTTCCTCAAGGTACAAGGATCATCTCAGGGTGATGGGTTGGATGTGTCACCTCAACCTCCATGGAATCTAGAAATCTGAATTTCTGTTTACATACTTATGCTTATGTGAAGTTCTGCTGTGGCACTGTAGGACAAGCCCTGGATTGCTATCCACAAATTCTGGCGGTTCAAATCTACCAGATGGTTCAAACCTGCCAACTGCTCCTCAGAAACCTATCACTACAAGTCCGAACCAACTGGACAGTGCTTAACAACTACAGGATGCTTATATACATGGAGCAGATACTCTATATTATAAAAATACAACAAAAATACAATGATTGATTTAATTTTTTCAAGCAATTTGTTCATTTAATCAAAATTTTCAAATAATCAATCCAGAAATCTAGGTGACACATGAATTAAAAACTGCATTCCCCACTACCTACACTACATCTCCACATTGATTGTTTTTTCTGTTTGCATACCTCTCTTTGTCACCCCCACTGGAATGTGAGCTCTATGCAGACCTGGATGTAGTTCTGGGACTAAAATGTGCCTGTCCCAATGTGGCTATTCAAAATATGTATCCAGTGTGCATAAATAGTTGGATGTATGAATGAATGAAATAAAAGAACTAATCAAGTACAGGCATATGGGGAAGGTTATTTATGTATTTGTTTTTTAAAGTTTTTATTGCGAGTTTTACATGGGAGAACATCAGCCCTACACTCATCCTATGGCACTTGGCCTCATGATTGCAATGATTACCATCCCCTCCAAACAACCAAAGGGTAAGGGTACACCACACAGGCCCCCCTGTCAGCACACAGCCCCTCTCCCTCCCTGAGTCCAGGGTCCCCAGCCACTCCATCTGTCCACGTCATCGTTTCTGTCTCCATCCCCGGTGTCACTGCCTCTCTGGGTAGGGTCCCGTTCTCTGTTCTTCTCACTTGATGGTCCCAGTGACCTCCGCTCCTGGGCTGCAAAATCACTCTCCTCCTTTCTATCAAAAAACATCTACCTCTATATTTCCTAGCCTCACAGTCAGTCCTGATGGCAATTATTCACTGTTGTACCACAAGAGTCTTATCCCCATTTCCTTTTGCCAGCCTAGTCCCAACCGATTAGAAATCTTTCAGTGGTGATTCTACCTTCCCCCGCCCTGTCTGGAACTAGGCTCCCTCTTGAAAGCTTGTAAGCCTTTGAATGCCCCCCCTCCAACCCCATTATGGGTGGCCAGTGTCTTAAGTTGCCCATCTCTGTCAACCCTGTGTACCGAGGGGGTGGGAGTGCTCCTCGCTGTAAAGATTTGTATGCTTTTTTGAGTTGCTAAATCCCTAAGTATAGGTAAAGTTCATCAAATTGTAGCAGGTTACTCTCCTCCTACCCCTTCTTTCTTCTTCTAGTTGAGCTCTGATCATCCAGCCATCAAAGCCAGGTCAAGTGGGTACTGTCTGCAAGTATGGGTGTCCTTGTGCCTCTCCCCTCACTTCATATCATCTGGA